GAATTATGATGTTGATTCCATGATTTTTTGATGATTATATGATGACATGATTATTATGATGATTTTGATGAATGATGATGCACCTAATGAGTTTATTATGAGAATGATATTGACATGTGCATCATGCATTTATATGCATTCGGATTTCGGTTCAGGACCTTGATTTCTTTGGCTTCAGACCCATTGTGCGGATGTGAGGTATTTTGATGTGATCTGGTTCTTGTATATAATCGATCCTATTGATGGGATCTATGGAGGGTTGATAGCCCAGTGTCCATCGAGCTGTGGTGATTGATACCACATGCATGAGTCTTGTTGCATTTGCATTTATGAGAAAATCTTGAGTAGTTTATGATGTTGTGGCCTTTGATGCCCAATGATGAATATGATGATGCATAATATGAAAATGACGTTGTTTTATATATTGATTTCCTATATTGATTATTATGAATCATTTTACTCACCCTGCCTGTTTGAATGTTTCCTTCACGTGGGTAACATGCAGATGACCAGGTTTAGCCGTGGATGTCGTCGATGATCTTTTTGGAGTTTTGAGTTGTTGGCCATTTTGGTTAACTTAGAGGGTCTTGCTCTGATAGTGTAACATCGTGTTGGGGTCTTTGAGTTGAACCATGTTTTATTTGATTTTTGTCATTTCAATTATGTTTCCGTACAAGGAAAACTTTGGATTATGCCTTTTTAAGTTCCGCTGCCTTTTGAGCAATTTTTGATAACTTTTGGAAAAACTCGTTGTTTACGGAGCCTTGACCTATATTTGATTTATTGGGAAATCTACGCCCTTTGAGGTGGTTTGATTTGAGTTTAATATTTTACTCTGATAAATGTGAATATTTTTCCATTAAAATTGTGGGGTAGAAAAGGGTGTTACACAAGACATCCACAAAAGCAATATAATAGGGTATCAACTACTAGAAGGTGCAGGTGATGGTCCCTATAAATCAGTGTGGACAAGTTCAAACAAAGTAGTATGTTTATTTGTGGACAATGGTGCAAATAATTTATGAGCTTTACCAAGAAAAAAGAATAGCATAATTCAAAATAATATTTATTATTGACATGAAAAGTGCACAAGTTCAACCCTTTGTGAATGGCTTTTAGATGAGCATGTCCTAACTCAGCATGAGACATGGAAATTTTAGCCAAGTTTTGACTATCAAGTTTATCAGCAATGTTGTTATTATTTGACATTACTACATTATTAACTATATATTCCACATTATATGACTTATGCTTCAAGTTACACATTGAATATTCCATCTTCAGTGTGTTGAAGCAATATAACCCACTTTCATCTAAGCATCCTTCAAGTAACACTTAACTAGATGCCTGAGATTTCACAAAGAACTTGTTTGGATGAAACTCAAAGTATACTTTGTTATATTTGGAAAATTTTGAAACTGAAATGAGATTTCTAGTTATCTTGGGAACATGCAAAAGATCATCCAACTGCAAGTAGGAATCTGACAAAGGTGAATAATGACATTTGATGTTTCCTATAACATGCACATCTAGGCTATGACCATTACCAACTATTAATTTATTTGGTCCAACACATGATTTGACATATTATAAACTGAACAAGTTAGAGGTAATATGATGAGATACATCTGGTCTGCAAACCAGACATGAGATTCCAATCCTTGAGGTAGTTGCAGCTGGTCCCGGTGAGCAAGGTAAACAGTTCCAAAGGCAGACAACGTGTCTTGGTTCTTGTTACCTTCTTAAGCATGATTAGTGCTAGTGGAGATAGTGCCTTGAGCTTGATTTTTTGAAGATGTGGGTTCAAAATGTTCATCCAACTTGTGCCAACACTCTATTATTGCATGTTCATACTTGTTGCAAAGTTAACATATTGGCCTTTTCTAGTTGTGTAGTTAGATTTGCTTTGACTTCTTCCTCGACCAAGTTTCCCTCTACCACGTGAGTGATGACCTGAACTACCTGAAAAAGTTGGTCAAATGGCTTGAGTGTTAACTTTAGCTTGAGAAATGTTGGTTAAGGCACTAGGTGGTGCAAGTTCATGATGATATTTATTGAGTTGAGCTTCCTGAACATACAACAGGCCTTCCACTTCATAAATGTCCACATGCTCAATTTTTCCATAAACCATAATGATGGATGGGTTGTATTCTTCAATGATTCCTTTGAGTATTGAGTCAATTTGATCATGTTTCGAAATTAGATTACCAATGGCCAAGAGGAAATCTGCAATGGCCCTGATTCGAAGAACAAAGTCAGAGATTATTTTGGTTCCTTTCTTGCTAATCTTTTAACACTGCACGAAGTTGATGAACTCGTGCCTTCATTTGAGAATTGTAATTTGTGCAACTTATCCCATATCTAATAGGTGTGTTTGGAAGAAAGAACCAGAGGCAGGAAATACTCTAAGATGGTTGATAGTAACAAAGTGAACAAAGCTTGGTCTTGCACAATCCATTTCTCATAGGCTTCAAACACAATTTTCGCAACCTGATCATTCTCAGTCTTCAACATAGGTGGAATGTGAGGGTTAACCACGATCTTTTGAAGTTTGTGTGATAAAAATGGTGAATGGTGGAAAAAAATTGTAAAGTAAGCAAGACATGTTACTTTCAATTTTTTATCATTCACCATTTTTTGCATGTAATATATTACCTCGGTTTTGTTATTAAACTGAGGTAAATATCCATATTTTATTTTAATTTTTAATTTAAAAAGAAAAACATTTCCCCTCGATTTTAAATAGGAACCAATGGGTTTAGTTACTCAGCTACAACAATGAATATATGCCCTACATTCATAAAGTAATAACTTTCAAGATATTGTCAACACATCAATCCACAAGAAACTCTCTACATCCACCACTATATATTTTGTTCTCTTTCTTGTGAAATTATTTGCCATAAAAATATTTGCTCAAGATAATTCATTGAACTTGGGGAACAGATCTCTGGGATGGATTGCAAGTGTAGAAAAAATTCTAATGGTTGTAACATATAACTTATCATAAATTGGATGCATGTAAATAGGGGTGGCAAAAAGGGACATGGCCTGCTGAGTCGGCCCGCGCACCCGCCGAAAAAGGCGAATTGGGTTGGAATTTTGTGCTCGCCTACCCGTTCAGCCCGCCCCACCTTAAGCTCGCCAAAAAATGAATGGGTTGGCTCGCCAGCCTAGTTATCAAGCACTCAAAATATTTATTTTTGTTGGTTGAAGGTTAATACTTGAACTATACTTTTGAAACTCTTGTTTATGGTTCTATTTAGGTTAAATTTCTTGATGGTTTTAGACTCTCAGTTGCCATTTTATGTTTTCTAATTGTTGATTTGGTGCTTTCTAATTGAAATGTAAAAAAAACATTTTAATCTATTAAAAAATGAATAAATTTTTGAAAAACTAGGCGGGCAAGCCCCCACTCACCAGCCTGTCACCCTAGCAGGGCGGACTAGATTTTTGAGCCCAATTTTACTTGGCGGGCTTCCCTGCCCCTCTCTTTTTTTGACGGGCTTAAGGCGGGGTGGGTCGGGCGGGCGATCCGTTTTGAAAAGAATGCGCACAAATGGTATACAACAAAATTTGGATAACAACAAAGGTTTGTTGTTCTCCAATAATCAGATTTGTCAAAATTTAGATTTGTTGTAAAAAATTTATTAATATTCAATGTAAAAAATTTAATTTAATTTTTTTAAATTAAGCTTATTCCCCTCGGATTTTAAAACTGAGAGGTTTGCGGCGTTTAAAAAGAAACACATTTTACCTCGGTTTTGAGTCATAATTGTGGAGAAATTTAAGTGTGTTTATTGAGTTTCTTTACGGTTCTTAAACAATTTTTTTTGTACATTTAATGAGTATCAACGCTCAAGACACTGTCATTAGTTATCTACTAAAGCCTAAAAGACATCCATTATAAAAGCATTATGAATATGAAAATTTGATAATGAAACATTTGTCATGAAATTTTGAAATGTGAATAAGCTTGAAAAAGTTCTCTATGATGGATTGCAAGCGCATAAAATTATTTGGGTTAAAGTCTGTGTTCTTAAATAATTATATAACTGAATATTTATTTTACTTATCTAAACATTTTTGTTTTATATCAGAAACAAATTAATGTAAAAGCCATAGAGAATAATATTGCATCCAATATTTGATCTTCTCCAAGATTCAATGAAACAAAGATCTAACATCTGATCTTCACTGACAGTGATGACGATGAATAAGATTCAAAATTTGTTATATATTTTTTCTTTAATATTGTGTAATCAATGTAATATTTTGTGTAAACTATATAATTTATAAATAAAATGATTTATTAATATTTTGTGTAAACAATATAATGAATTTTTTTATAATAAAAAAATACTATTTTTACTCTCGGTTTTGGTTATAAACCAAGAGGTATGTGACACTAGTTTTAAAAATATAAAAAAGGTATAAATGAGAATCAAACCAATGACCATTTTAATTATTCTCTCATTTATTCAAAAATTGAATAATAAAATAAATTTTTTTATAATACCTTCGTTACCTCGCCTCTGTAATCGAAGTTAAATTTCATTCACGTCTGAAGTTATTTGTGAATTTTTGTTGCAGTGGCTTCATTGGTCATAGAGTTGAGATGGGCAACTCGGATAATGGATAATGGCTCTATGCCTCACTATTGAACTTTTGTACTTTGAAGTTTAGAGTTTACTTGCTTAGGTCCATACCATTATATACTTTAGAACTAAATATTTAGTAGTTCACTTTTCGAGGGAAAGAGATGAGAAAATATATTTTTATTTTTAAATTAAACTAATTATAAAATGTTTCTTCTTTTTTAACACAAATTATAAGATGTTTATCACATCATTCTTTTATTTTTTAAAATTTTAAATATACATACTTAAGGTGTACCTATCCAACTTCAAAACATGAACAAACTAGAGAACTTTGCAAGATGAAAAACTTGGTCTTAATTAACCTGAAACATATTTCTTCAAAAAAAAACTGAAACCTGTTTATGAACTAAGAAAGAAAGGATTAATCTTGATAACGAGGCCAGGGAAAACATCATCAGGATCATGAATATGTGGATTCTCTTCAACAATATAAGGATCACCACATTTTTCACTTATGGTTTGAAGTGTCTCTCCCTCACCAACAACATATATCTCATCACAAACTTTGTTGTTGTAGTAGTTGTTATTGCTAAAATCATTTTCCTGCAGCATATTCTGAATCTGAACATTCAACTCATCATCATCACGTGTGCTTGATTCGCAGCTACTCAAAACTAACATTAGTGCCACAAACAAAGCACAGTTCCATGAAATCTTCTCTGCTATTGCTGTTGATGAACACCCACAAGCCATTTGTTATTGAAAGGATTTTGCACAATATTAATGTGAGAAAGGATTTTGTTGAGATAGGTGAAATGAGAGAGGATTTTATGTGGCTGGTTGTTGGAGTTGGTGTAGTTATGTTTGGAAGTTGGAATGGTTCATTCCGTAAAGTTGGTAAGTCTGTCTAGTGCACAGAGATAATAAACTTTGAAAATGGGAAAGAGTTGGTTTAACTGCTTTTTAATGAGAATGGTTTTTGGTTTTCCCTTAGACTTCTTTTAGGATCAGGCAATTTAAGTTTTTTTCTTTTTTTAGATTTTAAGAGATTACTAGGGGTTTGAAAGTGTTGAAATTAAGAGTTTATCCTGAGTCTCATATATATAAGAGTTAAAATTTAACTTTGAATGATTAAGTTTTACATTGATTAGAAATAAAATAAATATTTAATATATAAGAGAGGTGCCGCATACTATCATTACTTTAAGATTTTTGTGAACATATTGTGCCAAAGTCTCTTAGATCCGATCGGTTAGTTCATTGACATTTGTAATGGTTTCTCCTCGACAAAAAACAATAAAATGGAGGCTATTTTCCCCACAATGAAGGAAAATGTCACAAAATGTAATATAATGTATTCTTTTCTAAGATATAATTATGTTGGCCCTTGAATGAAAAATAATTGTTGCCTTAATTATTTATGTTGGATCTTTACTAAATAATCATTGTCATTTTAGGTTATTTAGGTTCTGACATTCACTAAATGAACTATGTCATCCTAAGAGGATATTTACATTGGACCTTCACTAAAATATCTTTGCCACCCTATGAGATAATTAAACATTGAACCCTCGTTTAGAAATTAGACATTTGAATTTTCGTTAAAGAATCATTGATGACGTATGGGGTAATTACACGTTAAACCCTAACCTCTCACTGAAGAATCCTTATTGTCTTATGAGGCAATTCACTTAAGGATCAACACCAAGGAAACTCTACGCTTGAAGGGTTCGCCTCAAGCAAAAACCTTGCGCAACTAAGGCAACATAAAACTTCCAAGATTATTAGCAAGCCACAAATTTAAGCAAAAGATCAACACTAAGGAAACTCTAAGCTTGAAGGACTAGCCTCAAGCAAAAATCATGTGAAGCTAAGGCATGTAAAAATTTTAGATTAACAGCAAACCAGAAATCTAAGCAACATGAAATTAGTTGAAGCCTATGCGTCTTAAAAACTCAAAGAGCATGATCGCCAACGCGCATAAGTTGTTTTTGCAAAGCAGACACACTCTATAGCTATCTCAATATAGCTTAAAATTTATGAATCAATTAAATGCTTTGAGGAATCCTATGCATAATAAGAATAATATTAAGATTTCAAGGGACAAATATAACCCTAACAGTCTTACATAATACGGAGTATCTACCAAAAAGGAAAATGGAAAAAAACGCTGTATGAATTTATGTGAAGTAGTCAAATATTACTAAATAATTGTAAATATGTATTAAATTCAGGGAACTAATTATGAGTTGGTGACCAACGAGGTATTGAATCATTTTTTGCACATAACAAGAGTGAGACTCTAAGGGAGGAAGAAAGGATGAAGAGTGTAACTCTACTTAATTTACAGTGAAGAAAGTACATGTATATATAAATTTTACAATACTGTTTGCATCTAAATTAGAAAGTCAATCACAAAATGACTTTGCTAGCTCGATCAATGACATTCATATAATTATCAATCTCAAAATGTGAAGCCATATAGAAGCCAGAGATTTTTTCTTTTCCTTTTCATTGTAATGTCGCTTCCCTTCATCTTGTTTTCTGTAATGCTTCAAAAATTCAGACTATTTCTCATTTCTGCTAAATGGAATGCTCGGGAATAGCCAGAAATAACCCATATAGCCCTTTAGAACAACACAGGCACAAAATCACAATCAATGTGACAAGTAAAAGTATGAAAGTGCATTTCAAGGTTAGCGATTCATGTGGCCGATTAAATAATGGATGTTGATATCAGTTATGTTTACAATACAATTGCAAACAGAACTACCTTCATCAAAGCAGTTTCTCATTTGCTGTATAAAGCACAAACGTGCCCATGTTATGAACTTTTAAGGTTGGGAGAGCCAATGACACTGAAAGGTGTCTTTGCCTGACTACCTTTTGCACCACCAGAAGCCTGACCAGCAGAGCCTCTAGGATGTGCAGCCTCAGTTACTACCATTGATTTCTTTATCTGTTAACAATATAACGAAACCAAGATAAACAAATAATAATCACCACAACAATAATAGCAAAAATAAAATTACATACCAAATAATGATTGAAATATTAATATACAGACACAGCAAGAGTAGCACAAGAAAAACCTAAACGATATACTATAGCTGAAGAAGACAGAGAAAGGATGTAGAAACTTACAGCCCCTATGCGCTCCTTGTGAATATCAGTTGAAAGCTGCAAACCCCGTCACAAAGTATAAGCAAAGAATATGAAATTCAAAAGAAAATAAGCCAATTAATTAAAACTTAAACATAAGGATGCACCAAAGAATGATAATTCTTACTGGTTTTCTGTAGTTTTTAATCTCATCGCCACCAAATCCAGGAAGTGTAATATTCCAATTTTTCTCTAAAAAGATGGATATAAATTGTGATAAGTACTGACAGTGAAATCAGAACACAGACAATTTTTTCAGTAACTTACCAAGATGTAAGAGTATGTCCTTGGCTTCCAAAGTTGTTGATTTCCGATGCTTCGCTAGTGAGCAACCAGACCTAATTATCTATTTAAAGGATAGATAAAAGAAAAGACACTATTAAAAACTATCTAATGTTTGTTTCTACTTAATTTATATAAGATGAATGAAATCAAGAACACAGACATTATTAAAAAATCAAATGAAACTTGGAAACTTAAAAAATTCAGATATTTGTATATCGGATAGTTGTTTCTACTTAATTTATATATGATGAATGACAGGATCTTTACCAAACCAATATTCTTTAAAATTGTTAGAACAAATAACATATTCTGAAAATTAATGTTATAGAAACAGAACATAAAATATGTACTGCACAAATCATTTTGCAGGGTCGTGTTTAAAAACCAAAACATATAAAAACACCACATTTTAAAATTATACAGTAATAGTAACTTGTTTCAAAATAATAAAGGAAGTAAGCAGGGATGGATGTAGAAATCTATCAAACAGGGACTAGAACAAACTTAATATTTTTTGTCGATAAAGATATTTTTTTGTACAACTGTGAAGAATAATTCCTGGAAATAGCTGAGATCCACTGAAGAGGTTAAATAGCAGTCAGATTAAATCACAGTCAAAATAATAATGAAGAGATTCGAACATATATTACATGTACCACAGTGTGGGTATAATATAATAATATTATTGCATGCTATGTAGCATCAATACGATGCCAATAAATTATAACATTTAATCACTTTTATTTTTTTAATTTGTTCTAATACCTACGTGACAGCGTTCTATGTTTGTGTATGTGCTTCATAGATTATATTGAAATTAATCTCCATATATATTATGCATATACCCAACTGTTTTGGGGGGAGGGAGGGGCCCTTGCGAATAAAAAATTTATACAAAATAATAGAAAAATTCAACATGTTTTCAAATTATGTGAACAAAATCCCATCAGTCCATAACAACACAATACACCAAAAAGAAAGAAAAAAAACTCACAGACTCCAGAAAATTTTCTGCAATATCACCAAGAATGTCTGCAACTTCAGGATCTAACTTCTCCAACGGATCAACCTGATAATAAAGCAGAAATGTAAATATAGGACGAAAACATACCTAATTCATGAAAATGAACATTGTCAAGGTTGCAAATTGTAATAAATTTATCAAAGCTTAAATGCCTTAGGACATGTTGCATTCAATAATCCATGAACCAGAGTCAAATAGTAACTCGACCATTATATCTAAAGGAAAGTAGAGTTGAACTTTACTAATTTTGCACATCTAAGAGTTAAGGAATCATGGTTCCGAAACAGTGAGGTATGGCAATTCTAAGCAGAGAAGTAGTTCTAGAGCAAGGCATTGCAGTGAAGAATGTATGCTCCTTTGTCATACATTCGGTAGCTACACAAGTTTTCGGTTATGCGTCTGAATGAGGAAACATAATTACATTCAACTAAAAAAATTCTGATAATTTGGATAGTACATCCTCCACACAATTCGAATGAGTATATTTAAGTAACTAACGCAATGATTTGAAAACCAGACCAAACATTGACCCGGAAAAGGCATAGATTTAAGGTTCAATGGGTCAGTCACAGTTAAATCAATGACAAATAACATTTTCAAAAATATGAAATATAATACTTTAGACATTAAAAATATAATCAAATAACTTGTGTACTGTACAATGAAAAATATGATTATCAAAAGATACATGACCATTTAAGGGACTAGATATAATTTTATTACTCCCTCCGGTCTCAAATATAAGCAACAAAAAAAAATTCAAGGGTCTCAAATATAAACAAAAGACATCCATATTTATTACATTCAATGTCACTATTCCAAATATATCCCTACTTTATTTTTTCCTATTTCTATGTTTTTAACTATTTCCAAAGCACAAAGTAGGGGTAAAATTAGAAAGAGAATAAGATTTAAATATATTCAAACATTTTTCTTAAAGGGTGACCTTTTTTGTAAAGTTGCTTATATTTGAGACCGGAAGGAGTACAATTTTGTAAGCTAAACCAACCGTAGGGTTTTTGCAATTATGTGTTGGATCATTTGGTTTAGTTTACTATTGGCCCAAAAATAAAAACAACCCCTTACCTGAATTCACATCCTTTAAAAACCCTAATTCCTAATCACAGCTGCCACTCATTATCTTGTTTTCATTTTGATCTAACCTTATGATCAGGTGCATGGTTATTGATTGCAAGAAAACAACAAATGAACAATAGAAGGTACATGTTTTCCCCCTCTAGCTTCACTTGATTTTTGATTCAACGTACTGATACAGTGACATGACAATTCTGCAATACGAAGAGAATAACCTCACAATGTTTTTTTCTTCTTCAGAACATTTTTTTTCCCCAACCAGTTCAAACCGTGGAACCGCCGATTTTTACAGGTTCTGCCAGTTTTTGACTGGGTTTGGCAGTTCATGGCCGGTACTTGTAAATCCCGGTTATGGAGTTTGTTTGGACCGGAATAGAGGCCGGTTTTCACAACATTGGGAAAAATGCACATAAACCACAGTTGTTACACCTTTTACAATTAGACACCTTTAACATCAATTTTCTTCCAATTAATGTCACAGTATGTTATTTTTTGTTAACTTAGATTTACTATTTAACAAGAACAAATCACAACTTTTTGTCCATTAAATCTAAACCATTAATTCATTATTATTTTATATAATTAGAAGAGCCTTTTTATTTTTAAACTTATATTAAATACAATATAAGAATAAGACGAAACCTTACACGTTTGTGTTTTTCCTTCTCCAAATAGATAATACAATTTTAAAAATGAAATAATCCCAATATTTTAAAATCAAAACTATAATCGTTGGTTAAGATTTGTTCATTGTTAATAACTTGATTCCATATTGACATAAGGACTAACTGGGATGAAGTTGAAAGTGTCAATTTGCAGACCTGAGGCATCATCCAATTTCTTAGTAACTTCAAGCGCTCATAAGCCATCATCCAATTTCTTACATGACTAATGGGGGACCTGAGGCAACACAAATTCATAAATGGACCTCGGGAGAAACTTGATAATTCTTTTGAATTTTAACAGGTCAGTCTAAACTATGTTTGGATGTCTAATAAATAGTTAAATGGAATAGAATGGGATGGGATGGAACAAAATGGAGCAAAATGAAATAAAATTACCATACAATTAATTGGATGTTTATGGGATGGGATGAACAAAAAAGATGGTTCAACCCTAAACCACTTAATTGGAGGGGAAGTGGATTATTGAATGCAACTACATGGAATGCATTTCATCATGTTCCATTTCATTTCAACCTATTTTAAACATTCCAAAAAATGGATCTGTTATGATCTCGCGCCATTTTACATATGTTTATTTAACAATATGTGCTGGTAATAACAAGAATACGAAATGTAACAAAAAATAATACATTAAAAATATGAACAGTGAACCTAGAAAAGCCTACTATAGAACAGAAGTAGTGTGGCACACCTGATTGACTAGCTCATGGATGCTTCGTTTTCCGAGAACACTTTTACCCAACTCTTCTGGATCTGCATTTGGTAAAGCATTTGGTAATCTACTTTGACTCCCTGGTTGAACTGCATTAGTTTGTGCAGCCACAAGTGATGAAGGTTTCTGATTTCCTGGCCCCTGTAGCCTCGTAACCTGTGGCTGGTGAGGCACATGAAGAGCTCTTGAAGGCGGAACTTGTTGCCCAAAATGCTCCTGGGCTTGATTAGGAGGCAAAGGTTGCGGCTGTTGTGAAGCTGTTGGCATGGACTGCTGCTGCTGCTGAGAAATATGTGTCCTTTGCTGCAAGGATTGTGGGTTCAATTGCTGCCTATAAGCCGGAGACGGCAAAGGAGGCTTCCCTGGCGGCCCAGATGACAGCCATGGCTGATTAATTGACTGCATATTTTGTGATGCACTTGGAGATGGAGTTGCAGGTGATCCCACAGATGACGGTCTCATAAGTCCATGACCTTGGAAGTTCTGAAGAAAATATAACAACCTAAGAAATCACAAACTTTTCCCTCCAAAAATTGTGTTTGTATACAGGGCACAAAAAATTACAAGCATAACACATGAAAAAATCATAATCAAGTAACAACTAAAAATAAGAAATGCTCAATGTGTTAAGGCCCTGTCTGGACAAACAACTTAATTAAGTTCTTATAACATAAATGCTCATAATTTTAAAAAACGGTCTGCGACCGCAAAAATGGCTGCGACGAAATGCGAAAGCCTTTACGCGACCGCGATCATTTTATAAACCTTATAGCTATTTGCATAACAAAAGACAATAAAGTGAAACTGTTTTCTTATAAGCTATGAACTATTTCCATAGGCTATCCAGGATAGCTTGTGAAGGTATCACAATTCATAAGTTGTTTAAGCAAATAGATAAACTTAAACAAGACAATCAAAATAGGCTCTTACATACACTAAAAAATGTCAAGCACACAGCCCAATACTCATAATTAACATTCAATTTCACTTTCTCAACAGAACAGAGTGAACCCAAAATACTAACTTGTGAACCAGCAGGTTGATTATTTTGAGCAGGGGGTTGCGGTCTAAGAGATGACTGAACCGGTCTCTGTTGATGTGAAGGCATTCCACCTGGACGCAATTGAGAACCCGAACCTAAAGATCCTAGCATCCCCATTCCTTGCATTGGCGTTCTCACCTAAAAGTTACAAATAACTAGTGAAAAAAAGCATAAACAGTAACATTCAATCAGAAACAATTGTAATTAAAACAAAGAAATAATCACAATATAACACCCTACCTGAGCAGCATTAGAGTTTGAGGTAGAATCTGATCGACCCAATCCGCCGAAGTGTGGCCCAAAGGTAGAAGAAAACGGAGGGGAAGGGTTCTGGTGGTGCGCGGGTACACCAATTGCCATTCCGCCTCTTGGCGCGGAGGTGGATGAAATTGACGATGTATGAGTGGACGGAAAAGATGAAGCTGACTGAGGAGTAGTAGGTGGGATCGAAGAGAAGTGCGAGAAATGGGACTGTGGCGGCGGCGGGTTTCTGCTGAATGAAGGGGGAGGACGAGGTTGAGGAAGAACTTGAGTGGGGGGTTTGGGGTTTGGAGTTTGGATTAGGTTAGGGTTAGGGATTGGGGGAGGGTGGGATGGTGCTGAAATGGGAGGGGTTGATGAGGAAGGTGCGGGTAGAGAGGATGGTGGTTGTTGTGGCTGAGATTGTACGGGTTCAGAAGCATTCCTGGAGGTGGTGCCGGTGGCCGGAGGTTGGGATTCCATGGAGTTGTACTTGCAGCGTTACTGATAATATTCAAATGCGCTCCATTTATAAAAACAGTTTTGAGATGAATAATTTTTTTATACTATTTTTCTTTATTAGTATTATGACAAGGATCTAAGTATAACATATCACATCACTCTTTCGGACATGAATCAAAAATATCAATGTTTTAAAAATCGGATTGGTCATCGAACCGGTGAGAGTATTGGGTCACTAGTTTATCGGTTGAATCACTAGGTTACTGGTCGAATCGCATGATTAAACCGGATTAAACCAGATAACTCGGTTGAATAGATTTGTCATCATAATAAAATCATATAGGTATAAAACCGGTTGAACCGGATAATTCAATCTCTAAAAAAATATAACTAGCACTTAATTTTTTTGAAAATATCATATCATAAATTCTCAAGTTCATAATTTAAATTCAAATTTTAAACATAAGTATTAAATACAATAATATAGTACAAAATTACAAAGTCTAATTGCAACATAATATAATTGAATAATTTATAACAAAATAACTCTAATGTCTATTTAAGTTTAGTTTTAAGGAGGTAAAATTATTTCAAAACAATGATAACAAAAAATTTAAATTTTTTTTTTAAATTTTATAACTCAAAATGACATTGTTTGCATTTAAATTTTAATTAAAAAATAAAAAAAGCATTAGAACCACCGGTTTACAGAAACCGCCGGTTTTTCGGTTTTTCTCGGTCTAATCCGATTTGCACCGGTTTTGATCGATTTGATGACAAAGGTGATCCAATTATTGAACCAGACCGGTTACTAGCCCGATTCCCGGTTCAACCAGTCCGACCGGCCGGTCCGGTCCGGTTTTTACAACTATGAAAAATACTATTCCTTCTGCCACAAGGTTGGAAAATTTTAAAAGAATTATTTAAAATATATATATTTTGAATGATTAAAAGCTAAATTTGAGATATTTATTCGGATCACAAACATATTTAATTCAAATATAAATATATTATATCATATACCGTCCAAATTATTACTAACAAAGTTGTAAGTTTAAAACAAAATATATGTAAGGGAGTAAAAATCATCGACAATCAACTTTATATTCTTCATATGAAAAAATATGCATGCTCTTAAACCAAATAATCTGGATATTTCAGCTGCCACTAAGGCACCACCTGTCATTAAGTTTTCACACAAAAATAAATATGTCATACTATACCATAAGGATGATAAAATACAAATATGTCACTAAGACAACTCGTCACACAAACAATTTGTCACATATAACATTTGGAATTAAATCATACATGCTTCAAAGTTAAATGTGAGGCTTAGGAATTTTTTTCCTAACTTTACTGCATATGTTTCTGATATTGTAGGAATACATCTCTAAATCATACTCTGACTTCATCCGATAGGACATAACACATCGTTTATATATAATACACAAAATTTATTAATGAATCATTGTCCAAAATAATCTTATTCCTGATTTCACTAATTTAAACCAATATTATTTCTATTATCGTTCGTATAAATGTTTTGTAATGCGCACACGCAAAAAATTATAAAATAATATTTTTCTTTGGTTTTAAGTTAACTTAATATGTAGTATGAAAATATTACAAGCATGGATATGATTATTTTGTAATGCTCGATCAAATTCCTTATCAAGATTTTATTGCTATTTTATTATTTACATTGATAAATGTTCATACATATTCTATATATTAATGTTTGCTTAAGATATGTAGTAATCACAGACAACCCCTGAAAAGAGGAAGCTGCGCAAAAACAATACAGATATGCACAGAAATATGCAAAAGTGTACAAAAATGTCGGCAATGTGGCACAGACAAACACCATGAGTTGATCCCTCTATGACTCGCCTGACCCTGATGCTTTCCCGACGTTTCGTCTTTAGAAGAGATTGATTCGGATAAACGGCCATCAGGTCCTCTCAATCCACTAAGCAATGAAGTTCTAACACAGACCGCAGTCATTTGCTTTTCAATCCCTAACTTTTGCCTGAACCGCCTTTTCGGGTTTTCGATTCACCGGGATACCCATTTTTGCCAAAGTCGCCTTTTCAGGTTTTCGAATTTGCGGGTTTATATCTTTTCATTTTTATCGCTAATTTTTTCCTGAACCCATTCTTCTTTTTTATGGTTCGCCGAGATGCCCCATTTTTGTCTGGACCTTTCTTTTTGTGTCCAGCGGGTCTCTTTTAAGCAAAGTATTTTTTAACTGCGTCTGCGTTCACAGGGGATGTAAAATCCTCACCATCCATGGTAGATAACAACAAGGCTCCTCCGGAGAAGACCTTTCGAACGACGTATGGACCTTCATAGTTGGGAGTCCATTTGCCCTTGTGATCTGATTGTGGTAGGAGGATCTTTTTCAGCACAAGATCGTCCGTCTGAAAGCTTCAAGGGCGCACCTTCTTGTCGAAAGCTTTCTTCATCCGGCTCTGATACAACCGACCGTATGCGATAGACGCTAGCCTTTTCTCATCCATCAGGCTAAGTTGATTCAATCTGTTCTTTATTCATTCTGCCTCATCAAGCTTGACATCGACCAGGACTCTTAAAGAAGGAATCTCGACCTCCAATGGTAGGACAACTTCCATACCATATACCAGCGAGAAAGGAGTTGCCCCGGTTGATGTGTGTACCGTCGTACGATAACCGTGAAGAGCAAAGGGCAACATCTCATGACAATCCTTATAAGTGACAACCATCTTTTGCACTATCTTCTTAATATTCTTGTTGGCCGCTTCAACAGCGCCATTCATCTTCGGTCGATAGGGCGATGAGTTGTGATGCTCGATTTTGAAATTCTGGCACAATTCCTTCATCATCTTATTGTTCAGATTCGAACCATTGTCAGTAATAATTCGCTCGGGTATTCCATATCTGCAGATGATGTCCTTCTTTATGAACCGGGCTACGACTTGCTTTGTAACATTGGCATACAAGGCTGCTTCAACCCATTTGGTGAAGTAATCAATGAAAACCAAGATGAAACAATGACCATTGGATGCGGTTGGCTTAATCTTGCCAATCATGTCAATGCCCCACATGGAGAAAGGCCACGGGGACACCATAACATTCAATAAGCACAGCGGTATATGAATTTTGTCTGCATAAATCTGGCATTTATGGCATTTTTTCGCAAATTTGAAACAATCTGACTCCATGGTTAGCCAATAATACCCTGCTCATAACAATTTCCGAGACATGGCATGCCCGCCGGCATGTGTACCAAAAGTACCCTCATGGACCACTTCCATAAGTAATGTTGCTTCCTTTTCATCCACACATCTCAACAACACCAAATCATGGTTTCTTCTGTAAAGCACACCATCCGGGTTTAGATAAAAATTACTAGACAACCTCCTCAGCGTCTTCTTATCTTGAGCCGAAGCCCCTAGCGGATACTTCTACTTCTTGACGAAGTTCTGTATATCGTGAAACCATGGTTTGCCATCAGCAGCCTCTTCAATGGCGAATACGAAAGCGGGCCTATCCAGGCGAGAAATGACTATTCTGGGAGCACCATTCTAGAAATTCACTTTATACATCGAAGATAGCATTGCCAAAGCGTCGGCCATCTGATTCTTTGCTCGCGGCACATGGTGAAACTCTACCCTGTCAAAGAAAGGTAACAACCTCCTTGCGTAATCTCTATAAGGAATTAGATTTGGCTGACGAGTTTCCCACTCTCCCATGATTTGATTAACCACTAGCGTTGAATCGCCATATACATCCAAATTCTTGATTCTCAAATCAATAGCCTCTTCAAGACCCATGATGCACGCTTCGTACTCGGCTTCACTATTAGTGCAAGGGAATGTCAACCTGGCAGTGAACGGGATATGAGTACCATGAGGGGTTGTAATGATTGCCCCAATTCCACTACCATAGGAGTTGACAGCGCCGTCGAATATCATCTTCCATTGAGAACCTTTCTCTGGACCTTCGTCGGGCAACGACTCTTCATAGTCTTTCGCTTTGAGGAACATGATGTCCTCATCAGGAAATTCAAACTTCATTAGTTGATAGTCTTTGATTGGCTGCTCAGAAAGGTATTCTGACAAAACACTTCCCTTGATGGCCTTCTGGGAAACATATTGTATATCGTACTTTGTCAGTACCATCTGCCACCTGGCAATTCTTCCTAAGAGCGCTTGATTCTCGAAGACATACTTGATCAAATCCATCTTCGAAATCAGCATGGTTGTATGATTAAGCATATATTGTCTCAAACGTTTGGCAGCCCAAGCGAGTGCACAACACGTTTTATCGAGCATTGAGTAACGAGACTCACAATTTGTGAACTTTTTACTCAGATAATAGATCGCATGCTCTTTCCTTCCAGCCTCGTCGTGTTGACCGAGAACACAACTCATATTGTTCTCAAGAACTGTTAAGTACATGATTAAAGGCCTTCCAACTACTGGGGGTATCAATATCGGAGGCTCCTGCAAGTATTCTTTTATCTTATCAAATGCTTTCTGACAATTTTCATTCCAGACGACCGCCTGATCTTTCTTTAACAATTTAAACATTGGTTCACACGTGGCCGTGAGATGAGATATGAACCGAGCAATGTAGTTCAATCTCCCCAAGAAATCACAGACCTCCTTTTCTGTTTTCGGCGCTGGCATATCTTGTATAGCTTTTATCTTTGCAGGATCGACCTCGATTCCTTTTTCACTGATAATGAACCCCAATAACTTTCCGGACTGAACTCCAAAAGTGCACGTATTTGGATTCAACCTCAATCTAAACTTCCTGAGCCTCTCAAATAGCTTCAACAAGTTGACCAGATTCTTCTCCTCCGTTTGCGACTTTGCTATCATGTCATCAATATAGACCTCAATCGCATTGTGAATCATATCATGAAACAAAGTGACCATAGCCCGATGGTAAGTTGCCCCTGCGTTTTTCAACCCAAAAGGCATTACCTTGTAGCAAAACGTCCCCCACGGTGTAATGAACATTGTCTTCTCCAT